TTCCCCCCCCCCCCCGCCGTGTCGCCCCACGCGTGGTTCTGGCCGATGGTTTTGCATCGAGGTCGGTCAGAGAAAAAAAAAAAGAAAAAAACAGAAACCCGCGGCCGGTGCCTCTGGAGTAAAGTCCAGCGCGGTGGGTATCGGCGCGAGGCTGCCCCGACTCAGGGGGAGATTTGGGGGAAAAGTGCCGAAAACTGTTGTTTTAACCAAACTGCCCTTGTTTCAGTGAGTTTGTCAGCGGTAGGTACCTGGAAAGGCCTCGGCGTGCTTCTAGCGTGCAGGCCGCCCTCTCCCCTGGCAGCTTGACTTTAAAACTTTGTGCTGGTTTGAAATAATGTTTTTTTGATGGGGGGAAAAAAAAAAACAAACCAAACACCAACCCCCAAAAAAACAATAGTTAGACTTGAGCATGCCAGAAACTCGGAGCTTTCTGCACCGGTCTTAAAATGTTGTAATTTAAAAGCGTTCAGGGCAAAAGGAAGAGTCACCTTGTTAATGTCCTTTCTAATGAGCGGCGTGTTCCGCTGTAGATAAAATAATTTAAAATTAATTGGCTGCTCCTTGTTACCGCTTCTCAAAGTACGCGAGCTGTATTGATTATCGAGTTGTTTTAGTGGCTTTGGCACGAGGAAAATTATTTAATTGGGCTTAATTAACCTGCAGAACTCGCTGGTAAAATAATCTGGAGCCAGAAGGTTTAGGGTTCAGCGAGAAGTTGGATGCTTTTATAGGTTTGAATTATGAGACTTTAGGAAGAAGTTAGGGGTTTGTGTGCCAGGGCAAGCGCGTAGCCCAGGCCGCGGTGCCGCTCTAGGAAGCTGTAAAAGTGTCTTAATTGATAAAGTTTGGGGTTAGATGGGAGTTTTTGCGGAATTTGAAGCATGCTCGGAGGATGGGAAACTTGCGTTGCTTTTATTGTTGTTGTTTAAATAGGCGGGTGTCAGTGATTTCAGACCGCGAGCCTAGTCTAAATTTAAACCGGCCCCCAAACCGGCGGATGTTTAACGGTCCCCAAGTCGCGTTTTAGACGCAGCGGTGGGTTTTTTTGGTGCCCGTTAACCTGACGGGCGACTTGCTCTCCTCTTCGAAGGTGACGGAGTTGGTGCTCGATAACTGCCGATCCAGCAACGGTGAAATCGAAGGTCTCAATGACTCATTTAAAGAACTGGAGTTCCTCAGCATGGCCAACGTCGAGCTGACATCGCTGGCCAAGCTCCCCACGTTGAGTAAGCTCCGAAAGGTACGTGGGGCTTGGAGGGGTCCGAGCTGTGGGTGACAAACCCCTGGTCCTACTTGAACCTGCGTGGGGCCGACGGTGGCAGCTCTGTGAAATGATGCTGCCTCCAGGCTACCGGGTTGGGGCTTTGTTGTGTTGTTTTTTTTGTTTTTTTTTTAAGATCCGAAATTATTTTGAGTGTCAACAGTTAATTGTGGCTGAATTGGGCTTGGGCAACGCCTCTTAGGACTGTAAATGTTGGTTTGTTAAAAACGTGAAGGTTGGCTGTGGTTTGCTGAGCTGTTGGATTGCCCAGCCCAGGAAGTACCGTTGCACGCTGCTGACAGAATAAATTATTTTTTTTATGTTTGCAGTGAATCCCGGTATTATCTGTTCTACTAACTTAAAATTTAAATCAGGAGTTTTCAAGTTTATAATTCTCAAACTTCAAGGAACTTTTTGACAGCCCAAGCTTGTAAACTTATGCAACTCTTCAAAAGCGTTCAGCTTTGATTAAACTGTTAAAGGAAGAAGGATTCAAACTGATGCGGTCTGAACCCAAGGGTAAGAAACCAGCTGTTTTAAGTAATTAATATTTTTTTCTGTATAATAGTTGGAGCTGAGCGACAACATCATTTCAGGAGGCCTGGAGGTCCTTGCAGAAAGATGTCCGAATCTCACATATCTAAATCTAAGTGGCAACAAAATCAAAGATCTTGGCACTGTGGAAGCTCTTGTAAGTACGACGTGAGAGGGGCTAATTGAAAATTTCAATCTCGTAAGCAGTATTTTTTATAGAGACTAAATTGCTTTTTGGTTTTTTTTGCAGTGGAATGGTACAAACATGGCTGTAAGGGCTGTGTAGGAGCCGTTTTTTTTTCTTGAGCATGGTGTAGAAACAGCAGAGAGGGGCTTTACACTGGTGGGGTGTGAGCACAGAGGTACCGCCTGGTGTGTTCTGGCTCCTCATCTCCCTTTTCAGCCGAAAGCCGTGTGAAATGGAATTTCTTTTCGTACCTGTCATATGTTCTATATATTTTATTTTTTTTCCTTGTGAGCTCGGGTGAGATGGATGCTGCCGTGTCTGGGGTTTGTCAGTGTTCCACTTGCTCCTGACTTGATTAACTCGGTGTTGTGGCTGTTAGAGACGGGACTTGTAACTGTGCCCCTGTGGTCGTAGTGGGATGTACTGAACGAGAGGGTTTTGAGCTTCTCTTTTTGTCTTTGAAAGAAGAGTAGCCAAGTTAGCGTCTTGCTAATCCTCTCGTGTTCATTTGGTTCGGTGTAGGTTGTCTAACAAGCCCCTGCCTTCAGCTTTCATTAAACTGAAGCGTGGAGGGGTAGGAGATGGTCAGTTAGGAGCGAACCTGGAAAGCACCACTGGTAGGACGCTTAACTGCAGGAGGAAGCTGCCAGCGCCTGTCCCTACCTGATCTGTTCACCTGTTTTTCTGGATGATGATTTTTTTTTTTTTTTGTAGGCCTTTATAAGCTGCATATTTTTAAAACTGTGTGTAAAGATTCTTCACCTGCTTTAACGGCGCTTTAACCCAATGGTCAGCAGAGCAAGTGAAGTAGTTAGTGCTCTTTAGAAACGCTTTTATTTCGACCTCAGATAACTTGCCAAGCCATGGGGGTGGCTCGTTCCGCACGCGCGTAAAGTCCGAACGGTGAGAAAAGCCACCGTCGGTCGTCTAGTTAGTGCAGTTATAAATCCTACCAAGTGCCTCTTGCTTGCTCCTCGCAAGAGCCCTGTAATTAAATCAGTCAGACTGTTTACTGAAAGGCTGCTGGAGTTGTTAAGTTTTTGCCCACGATTCCCTGAACAAAAATAGGCCACGCAAACAAAACCCAGACCCCAATCCTGCGCACGGTGCTCTGGTGCTTGGGGGATGTGTGGGGCCGGTCTGCAAACGCTGAGGCTTGTGTGAACGGGGAGCAAAACAGGGATAGGAAAGGAGGGATGGGGACAAAACAAACTGTAGCTGGCACCTGTGTTTCGGCTGTGACCACGCTGTAACTTGGAAGTACCATGTCAAGAAATAAGGGGGGGGGGGAAGGAAAAAAAACCACCACCCTTTTCATTTCTTTTCAGCAAAATCTCAAAAACTTGAAGAGCCTTGACCTGTTCAACTGTGAGATTACAAACCTCGAGGATTACAGAGACAGCATTTTTGAGCTGCTTCAGCAAATCACGTACCTAGATGGATTCGATCAGGAAGATAACGAGGCACCGGACTCAGAAGATGATGATGATGAGGGTAACTTCCTGAAATAAACTGGGGCTAGAAATAGCGTGCTGTAATAAAGATGTAAATGTGGTGGGGGGTACGGTGATTTCTTGAACGCACTGGCAGACTCGTAGAGCTCGTTTGATTTTAAGGTGCTGTGATAGAGAAGGAAAACTCCTGTCGAAGGTTTTGAGTGTTCCTGCAGAAGCCTTCTGAGCTTAAGGAAATTTGACTGAAGATGCTGTTACAAAGATAGAAATATTTTCAAAATAAATTGTTGACGGTAGTAAAGCACTTTGGCACTGCTGAATGGTAAAAAGCGAGGGACCAACACATGATTTTGTGTGAAAAAGTATAATTTTACCATTTTTTGTAATGGCTTCAGTCTGATGCACAAATATAACACCATTTTTTGTTCAAAAAAGCACATTAAGTTCCATTTGATCTGACCTCGGTTGTGGTTGTTAATGAGGCTTGTTCCTACATCTCTTTCCATGGTTGTTACCTGATGGAAAATGAAACCCGTAGGTACGAGTCTGTCAGCACGTGGCTCTTCTTTAAACATCCTTGCCTTAACGGATGACTGACGCAGTCAAAGCTGTTAAGAAAACCCATCCAAAACATGTTTTGAGCACTGGTAGAAATACGACAGGTTGTTGTTGTGATGCGGCGTCTTACACGTGTCTGTGCTCTGAATATCCCCGCAGATACCCAGCGAGGTTCGGGCTGTGTCGGGTTGATGGAGGTTTTTTGATGTTTTTTTTTTTTATGCCCTCAGTTATTAGGTGGGAGCTGATGCTGCTGTGAGCGGGGTTGGGGCTGCTGGTGGATGCTGGGGCACAGCAGAGTTTGGAATCCTGTGTTGGAAAAACTCAGTGAAAGCCAAGCAGTTGGCACTTGGAATGTGAAAATAAACCCAATAACCTATTAATCTATTTGAAGTATTAACTTGGAAATTATTTTAAGTGTTAAATCACCTTGTCATTTCTTGTAATTTGCTTAACTGAAACTGTGAAAGTGATTATATGCTCCAGACGTAGAAATGAAATGAGAGATCATCTCTTTGGAACTGTGGGTGTTTCGCTAGTAAGTGATTAAATAACAGATACATGTAATCTGTTAAGCTGGTTTTGTCTTTAAATATTTTAGGGTTTGATTCTATAGAGAAGCCTCTCTTCCCCTTCCACTGACTAAATTTTCAGCTCCCTTGCAGGAGTTTGCATACGGAGCTGCTTCAGGCGTTGAGAATTTTGCCTGAAGCTTGTGATGTAAAATCATCGGTAGCCTTTCTTCGGGGAGAAAAAAAAATAAAAAATTATAAAGATTAACTTCATTAAAATCATGCTTGTTTCCCACATGTTGCCCGCATTAAAAAAATTTAAAAAAAACCTGCTGGAAAAAACTGTTAGAACTAGCTTGATCTGGTGTATACAAACTTGCATAAAG